CTGAGATAGCTCCGCTGTTAGCAATGCAAATTTCAATTAAAGAACTGAAGATATCATTAGAAAATGAACAATATGTATCGTATTAAAGCAATCAGACTTGCCGTTTTCAACAAGAAGTGGAAAATATCACCTTTTACCAAAAATTACAAAAATATTCATCAAAATTAGAGAATTAAAGATATCGTCATGAAATGAACAAATTTGAGAGAGGTCCACATGTAGTACCAATACCAATATATGTAATATCAAAGCAATCAGACTTGCAGTTTTCAACAAGAAGTCGAAAATATCACTATTTACCAAAAATGACAAAAATATTCATCAAAATTAAAGAATTAAAGATATCATCACAAAATGAACAAATCTGAGAGAGATCTACCTGTAGTACCTACATATGTAATACCAAAGCAATTTGACTTGTGGTTTTTAACAAGAAGTCGAAAACATCACTTTTTACCAAAAATTACAAAAATATTCACCAAAATTAGAGAATTAAAGATATCATTATAAAATGAACAAATCTGAGAGAGGTCCGCATGTACAGTAGTACCTATACATGTAATATTTAAGCAATTAGATTTGCGGTTTTTAAAAAGAATTCGAAAATATCACTTTTTACTAAAAATGACAAAAACATTCACCAAAATTAGAGAATTGAAGATATCATCATGAAATGAACAAATCTAAGAGAGGTCTACCCAAGGTACATATACAAGTATCAAAGCATTCAGGCTTGTAGTTTTCAAAAAGAAGTCGAAAAAGTTAAACATTGACACGGACACGGACGCCAGACACCGACGAACAAGCACACATATATGATAATCTCTGCTCGACAAAGTCAACAACAGAGCTAAAAACAGCTTATTGCAATTATAATTTTAAAGTTCAGCCATATGTATTAAGAAACAAAACATTAACAAAAGGTGGATTAAGTAAGGGCAAGCAAGGAACATGTTACAAAGATCCTACTTAAGTCCTACTTAAATCATACGATACAGATGCTACATCTATTATGTTTTGTCATGATTTAAGTTTTTGTTGACTTTATTGACTTGAGTGGCACATTTTACAGAATAAATCAGAAATGCAAGAGAATCAAAAACAGCTTTCTATCTTTGTAACAATTACTCACACAACTAATATGTAGTACTGGTATGATTGAGAAATACAATGGCCAGCATCGTAGCAAAAATATGGCAGTTAAACAAAATGCAATTTTAGTTTTATGCAAAAAATCTTAGCAATTTCCAGTTTTACGGGAAAAATGGTAAATGGATGATAACCAAAAACAGTGTTGGCATTAGTGTGATTTATTTGACAATATTGTTGTTAAAATTAGTTAAATCATGAATTGAGAAAAATAGTCAGCTTAAAATACTATTATGAGATCTTGGTCACATGACACCATACATGGCCCTTTAACCTAATCCACTTATCAATTCTAAGACTTACATCTGGTGCCATTGTTAACGTTGGTTTACGTACTAAAATAGCGGAACTAAAATCACCGTGACCATCAGTGCTATTATACACACTATGTAGCAACCGATTCCAAGCCTTTCCTACAATGTTTGATTTGATGCCATATCTGGACCAGGCATAAGTACTCAACCTGGGTAAGTATGATCACATGATCACATTAAAACATTATATTTTTATTCAAATTATATATATTATATGCAAATTTTGATGTTGTGCATATTTCAGAACAAATATCAGATTATGAATGTTTTTGTTATAAGTTTGAAACATTGAAATGTACATGTTTATTTCTTGTGCAGTACCAGAAACAGCTCAGCTTTTTGAACATCATTTTTATCATAAAATTTAGATATAACATTTAGACAATCAATCATGAGACAAGATTGAACATGATCCGCTCAGCAATACCAATATGATTCCAAAAACAGCATTCGTTATAAACAATCAGTTATTTTGAATCAAATCTTCGGAAAAATGATGTGCATCAAGGACCAATTATGTTCATAACAAGTTTTGATGAAATTTATCCATGCACAACCAAGCTCCAGTTCGGGAATGACAGAAATGCTTGATTTTGGTAAATTTCAAGCATTAAAATGGCTGCCATTTGGCCATCTTGAATTGGATCATGAAACAACAGCATGTTCTTATGCATGATATGATGGCTGATGTATGTGTCAAGTTTGAATGTGATCTGTCAAAGCATGTCAGAGATATGGGTGGTGGACAAACAGATGATTGAAATTATAAAGCCCTGTTTTTGAATTAAGTCTAAATAAACTGACAGGCACTACTCATTGGTACATTGATCAACCATTATCAAAATTGCATTTAGTGTCTAACTTTTTGAAAAACAACTCAAACCTCAACCACACAAGATTTTAGAACATAATAAAAAAAAAAAAAAAAAAAAAAATCATTTTCTTCACCACCATTTCAAAGAGGGAAAGTTATTATAGACTTTGCTGATTATAAAAAAGCTGTATAATTATTCACGAGTATCTTAAGAATATTAAGGAAACTACAGAAAAAAGTTGATTGATTGATGATTATGCAATATACTAAAAAGTCAATTTTTTTGTGAGTTTATGATTTGTTGGCTGCATGTTTGTATGTCTTTCAGAATTGTATTTACGCCCAGCGGCTGACACAACTGAAAGTATTTTTTTCTAGAATTAGACCTCTACATACAGTATGAGTCACTGTATTTTCCATAGGTTTAAACTCACTTCTAAGTGAGGAAATATGTTATTTACAGGAATCCGCTGAATTTTCGCCATAAAACATTTTCAAGATTTGACAATTCAAAGCAGAAATACAATTTTACAAAAGTCAATACATATGTTCCCAAATATTTCATAAATACCATGATTCTTGAATCGCAAAATTCACAGAAATGTGTCTCTTGCTAAAAACTGAGCGGTGTATATAACAATCTTCGCAACTTGTATGACTTACGTTCTGTTCTAGATGTTTGGATGGTGTTTTAACAATTATGGTTTTACAATGATCTTTATGGCCGTCATGGCTGTTATACACAGAGTTTAACAATAGTGACCAGGCTGTAAATGTCAGATGAGATGTGTAACCATAGCGACTCTGGGAATAAGTCATTATCCTTTAAAAAAAAGACACAAAATAAGGCGTGTGTGGATAAGAAAGCATCTTAGTCAGAAGAATTAAGGAGGACCAGAAGAAAGGGGTTAATGGTTCCAGCCAGATACAGACAACTAACTTTGATATGGTCTGCAATGAATTTTTAAATGAGTATAGCAAAATAAGACAAGAACAGGCTGCTGCTGAACATTTAAGCGATCACAATCAAGCTTAGGGGGGCCATCAGAATGCATCATGGGAATGCACATCCAAGAAGAGAAATGAAGTACACAGTCACATGAGTCACACAATTATTACCACAAACACATGCACAAACCCATCACCATGAAACATATGTAGAAATATGATTGACATCATCAATTGTGAATGACATAAATTATGGAAATCATAATAAAAATCATGAATGTGTGTATGAAATCATAAATTATGGAAATCATAATGACATCATGAATGTGTGTATGACATCATAATTATGGAAATCATAATGACATCATTAATGTTAGCCTGACAAG